GGCACATAAAAAATGCAGTGGTAAATTAACACGAGTTATTTTCTCTACTAAAATTTATGGTTTTACGGATTCCAACACACTCTAAATTTTAATTTTTTGTTTTTTTAGTATATAAACCTTGTTGTTAGTCTTCAGAAAAACACGTCTTCCTCTTCATTAAAGCAAAAAGCAAAATGTTACAACTTGCAAAATCAAATAAAGACTGACTAAAAAACCTCACAGGAATTAAACTATATAATAATTCTTCCATGTTTGTCAGCACATACTTAAAACTCAATGCTACTTCTGTTGTTTGTCAAATTGGTTACACGGCAGGCAGAGAGGAAGAAGAAGGTTTGATCCCATTAGCTCATTATTGCACACGCTTCCCCCTTCCTGGGTCCTGTTATTCTCCATCCTGGGACTGCTCCCAGCGCTGCTGTTAGACAATGAACCAAACGCAGTCTTCTGCAACACGCCGGTCGGGGATGATCCTAACCGAGGACTATTATTATCCCACCCCTCCGTCATAAGGTTTAATGCTGACGAGTTCTTGGACTCCACTGTGTTATTGCTCGTGTTATGCAGAACTTCCCCGAGTGGCCCCCCAACTGAATTCTCCCATGAGATTGGGATCCAATGTGCTTGCCTTTGCTGGCTCGATTCGTTGATCACACTGCCTACTCCCAAACCCATCTGTATTGGGTCAAATTCGCGAGACAATCTGAGTGGTGAAAGAGTGACCTTTTCGTTGCTAGGGGAGGAAGTGGAAGACATGAAATCTGAGGCAGCCATTGGAATTGATATTGAAAGCTGAGTCCTGTCAGATTGCATTCGATCAACCTCTGGCCAGGACATCCCAGAGCGACCAGACTGCGTTTTAGGCCAGTCATCCATGAACTGACGAAGCGGATGGTGTTGTGTTTCGGTTTCTTGGTCAGAAATTTCCTGGGCAGAACCATAGTTTCTGCAACTCATCAAGGAAGAAGATCTGTGAGAGGGGTTGAGAAGGGACTGCGAGGAGACAACTCCAAACAAGTCGTGAGAGATTTCTTCGTATGGAATCGGCTGTTTCGGAATCAAGAATGAATTTTCTTTAGATTTCGAGTCAAGCATAGATAACCCAGGTGTCTCCTGCATCTCATCCTCCAAATTCTCTGCGTTCATAAACATCCTGCAATTGAAATTGCAGCCATGAATAAGAACAAAGACCGTCATAATTCATATTTCTCCAGAACGAAAAGAGAAAGGGTAAGAGAAATTTTAGGAATCCTCAGAGAATCATCACTGATTATTACACAATTTTATATAATTACTGCATAAAATTACTAAATTAGTACAAGATTGCGAGCCACTAAGAGCAGCTCCCTATGATGTGGACACAAGTTCCAGAAAGTTATGTGGTGTAAAACATGGAAGGAAAAAAAATCCCCCTAAAGGAATCTCAAGTAAATAATAAGAACAAGATTAGTCACCATCATCTACAGTTCAGACATGGTACAGGAGATGGAAAAGGCGAAGAAAAAGAAAAAAGAAAAGAAAAGAAAAGAAAACATCCAACATGAAATATGCAAAATGGGTACCACAATACAAGTGTAAAAAGCAAAGGGTTATCATCAATACACAATCTAGGAGCAGAATATATGCTAAAAGGATAACAAAAAGCCTTTCCCACCAAGTTGTTTGAAATCCATGAAACATTTCATAGGTTTCACATTTACATCAGTAAATTTTTAGGGCAAATTTCAAGAAAATCTCTAGTTTTGGATTTAATCACTACAATATATTAGTTTTAGTTTGTCTGGATGGTTAGTAAGATCTTTTTATTTAGAAACCCAAATATTGATATACCTTGATTATGTAAATATTTTGTATATATCATGCAAAACATTTTGTTTTTATCTTGGGGACTATTTTGTAAAAAAAAAAAAAATCTTAATATTTTGTCTGTATAAGGATCTATAATTCTACATTTTATCATAGTGGAACAGTTTTTTTTTTTTTTTTTTTTCTTTGGGTTTTGCCCTTAACGGGGACATACTTAAAAAATCATGTTAGATCTTATATATATATATATATATATTTTTTAATTTTACTCTTTATTTTGTGTAATTGTGTACATGTTAGGGATTTATTTTCTCAACACCAAAAAAGTAAGAATAAGCTTACCTGTTGATGCCTGGAGTAGTAGCTGTTGAGGAAAGAGTTGTTAGTCCAGGTTGCAAGGTTTTGAGCTGCTGCTGGGCAATGGTAAGGTTGCCATTGGAGCCACCACCTGCTGCAGAGGAGCTGGCGGCGGTGGCGGTGGCGGTGGTTGTGGTGGTAGACACCATGTGTTTTGAATTTGTGGTGGCGACGGAATGGCCAGATTGGCCTTCCACAGGCTTTCTTGAACGATGGCGGCCTCTGTTCATGTGTCGTTCACAGTACTTCTGATCGGCGACTGCATCTCTCGAGCACCGCCATTTCTTCCCATCCGTCCTACGACACCGTCCCGGCTCAGTATCGGTGCTGTTTGAGAATCCAAGATGGAAAGTTCCCCATCCCACTACCATTTTTTCACATTTCACCATTATCAGAACAACAACCAAAATGTAATTTAAATAGTCAAAAGCATATTAATTTACAAAAATGGCAAGTATCCAGATGAACTTCCAGGGAAATCCTTATCAGAGTAGACTAAAACATTTTTGTTCAGCAGGAAAATTTTTTACCCAGATGAGAACGTAGTCTTTTTTCTGTGCCTCCAAACAGAAAGGGACAAAAATGAATGTAATAATAAATACTTCTTGTTGTGGCCCATTGTCACTCAAAGTCAAATTAGAAACCTTTCTGAGAAATAACTATACAAAGTGAGTAGAAAGTAACAGCGCAGCCACTGTAATTGATTCCATGCCTCAATCTATTTCTCAACTTTAAACAGTAACTCACCGTCAAGTTCTGATTTTTTTTTAAAAAAAAAAGAAAATCAAAATGCCATTGACGCGAACATTATGAGGTAAACATGCAAAGTAAGAGAGAAACAAATTCTCTGTTACTTACATGAATTGGGTCTGAGCAGGCTTCCTGGAAAGCTGGAAAAACCAGCAGATTCAAAAGCTTTTCTTATTGGAATTAGGAGATTAGATGGGATGGGAATATTTGCGGTGAGATACTTGTAGATCAAGGCTTGGTGTTCAAGTTCCATCCATTGTGATGGAGTAAATGGTCCTCTGCAACCTGCTAAAGTCCCATGCATGTTTGTTCCATTATAGATTCCACTACTGTTGTTGTAGTACCCTGAAATATATACAACAAACCCAAATTTAGAAAATGAGGTCCTTCAAAAAAAAGACGGAAAAAGCCAAAAATTCAAGGCATTTCCTTGGTAAATTGGAGGGGGAAAAAGGATATCCATGACCATGATTGTAGAAAAGTGATAAAGGAGGAGTATTTAGCAAGTTAAACCCCCAAAAAAATGAATAAAAAATCAAGCAAAGTCTCTACAACTTCCTGTCTTTAATGGAGGGAAAAAAAAATATATATATATATATAATAAACTATAAAGAAAAGAACTCCAAAATCATTGCATTTCCTTGTTTTGGTTCTCTTTTCTGCGGTATTGTTATGCCGTGTTTGGTTTACTATTACCAGAAAACAGCTTTCAAGAAGAGGGATTTTGAAGGAGATAGCAAAAAGAGACGTGCCCAAACTTTTACTTGACAAGACTTAAAATGAAAGAAAAAATAATGGGATTTCCATGAAAAGACCTCTCCATTCATCAATAACCAGAACTTCTTTTTCCTTTTTCTAAAACTCAGCACGTCTAATCTTCCAAACAAAACCCACAACCATTAACCAAAGCTGCATGCAATCAAACCCACAGAGACTAAAATTTCCCACCCAAGAAAAAAAAAAAACAGGGAATGGAATAAGAGACAAATCACTGTCACAGAATGATGAAGAGTCATTAACACGACTTATATTTATAAGCACCTGTAATATTATTTCTACTAGAAGCGGATGTTGATGTAAGCTGAAAATAAGGGAATGTAGAGATATTTTGAGAGGTCCTTTCTGCAGAAAAAGCCTCTGGTTTGGGAGAAGAGAAGCTCAGCATCTGTTGATGACAATCAGAGAAGAGAGATGAAGTACTAGATCTCAGTAAACTACTGTTTCTTTGCTGGAGAGAAACAGCTTTTGATGCGGAGAAGTCATCAGTGGACTTAGCCAGCTTTGGGCTTCTCCAAGACTCATCGTCTTCATTATTACAGGACCTTTCTTGCTTGTTGAGCAACCCAGATCCGTACAGCTTCTGCTTTGTCTCAGGATCTGAAACAAGAAGAGTAGCAAAAGAAGCAGAAGCGGAAGCAGAAACAGAAGCAGTAGCTGAAGTGTCCGAACCCACCATTAAGCCATCCAAACAGAGCAGACCAAAATCCATATAGAACCCACCAAAGAGCCTACAAAACCTGTAGACTGTTACTCAGGAAACGAAGCAGTATTGGGTCATTGCCAGAAAAGACAGAGGGCGGAGAAGCAAGGTGCATTTTTAAGAGTGGGGCTAGCTAATGGCTGAAGCTACTGTGCTTAAAAAACCCAGACTGGTTTTTTTTTTTTTTGGGAAGAAGACTCGATCTTTTGAGAAAATATAAAATAATTGGAGAGAGAAATTCAGAGAGATTGAGAGAGACAAAGAGCAAGAGGATGCTTAGCTATAATATATACATACATATGTATCTATATATTACTATACATGTTATTATATTATCCTAATTATTTATTTATTTATTTATTCATTGATAAGGAAGCGAGGAAACCTTCATGAGTAGGTTTTTTTTTTATAAAAAAAAGAAAAATCATCAAGATTCCATCTTAACGAGGTTTCATTGCTTTCATGATTTTCTCATGTTGAGTTTCTGAGTTAAAATTAAACCCATGATTGGTTTTTCAGCAAATACATACATACATACATATATATATAATATATTAGTTTTATAAATTTGAGTAATTCACCTTAACTTTTTTATCAAAATATATATATATATATGAACAATAGTAAATTTTTTTTTTTTATATAAAAATAATAATTGAAGATTGTGTTTAGTTTGCCTTGCAAAATCCCTTTAAAGTCACATTAGGAAGGTTGCATACCCACGTGACAGTCGCATTTCAGAATTCCCCCTTCCCACCATCCACTCACTTAATTTACTATAAAGTAAATATACACATTCTTATATTTATTTTTACGTGTAAAAAAAATCTGAGTCACATGATTTCCTGGTATCATCAATTCATTTAATTTTAAAACTTATTTTCATTTTGTCTATTAAAGACGTATTAGACCAGATTTCTTCAATATTAATTTTCTTCATTTGATTATATCGACCCCAACCCAATTTAGGTCAAAATGAGAAAAAATTACCCAATTTCACGAAATTAGATTTTGACAAATAGTTTTTCTCCTAATGGTTATTCAAAATTTAGTTCATAATGTAAAAAATTAAATAATTTTAAAATAATTAAATAAAAAATGCATGTAATAAATTTAATTCATATAGTATCAGCTTTAGTGTGTGTGTGTGTGTATATATATATATATATATATGTATATATATGTATTGGGAAAAATAATAAATATGCTTTCATTAAGACATCTCACCTCGTGTTCCCAAATGAGTGGTATTCCTTCACGCCCACGAATAGATAGAGTTCTAGGCAAGTAATTAATTAAGTCTGTCTTCGTTTCGAGACGAAATTAAATTTCAAAACCTCCTTTTTTTTTTTTTTTTTTTTTCCTTTTTTCAATTTTCAAACTATCTTAATATTAATTTATAATTAACGACAGCTCTGGTAACTAGTCTAATTATTATTTATCTCAATTACTTTTTAACGATAATTTTATAAATCTATTTAAAGAAAATTGAGTGTATTTTTTAATATTAATTTCATGCATTTAATATTTTATTTTCAAATTATTACTGTTTATATAATTAAGAAAAAAAACGTACTTTGTTAAATTAATTAATGAAAATATTTTATTATTTACATTTTTTATGTATGTATTGTAATTTTAAGACAATATTAGAAGAGGTAAATAAATTAATTATTTATTTATATTACAATAAAATTATAAAAATTTAGGATTGTGCTTCTCACTTTTTTTTTTATTTATAAAAATTATTTCTAATATTACTACAAATACATTATCTATTATCTAGTTTAAATTAAAAAAACAGACAGAACTAATATGTTTATGTCAGTTCTTAATCTATAAAATTAAAAATTAGTGAATTTATTATGTTCTTGTCTAATATTTATATTTATAATAAACCACAAAGCATGTAAAAATCCCAATTTATGATATGTTATTTATTAAGAGGATTATTATTATATAATCTCGAATATGTGAGTAAATGTATAATCATTGATTAAAAAAAAAAAAAAAAAAAAAAAAACTTTTTAAAAGCTAATTGATTATAATAATTGTTTTGTTTACAATGGGAAAGCCATGGTGACTCAATTTCTCAATTTTAGAATTGAAGTTGGTGCATTGCAATTCTGGAATTGTTCTTTTATGTTTGGTTAAGTCCACATTTGGCTATACGTTGACTGGTCAAAGCACTCCAAGCTGTAAATACCATAATTTTCCAAATAAAATTAACTAAATATTCGATGGGCATTAAATTAATTATAAAAAAACTCATTTTTTTTCACTTTATTATTTATTTATTTATTATTATTATTATTAGTAGTAGAAGGGCTCATGTGTGTATTATGATCATCATCATATAATATTCATTATTTATTATATTATATGTTTAGCAAGATGTGCAGGGTTTAATTATGTTGTTAATCAAATTGTAGGCACATGGATTCCACAACATACATACATACAATTTAATTCAATTTTTTATATAAAAAAAAAAACTCCTCCAAAATATGTTTTTTAATCTCACAATTTGCAAGACCCAATTTCGTCAAGAACTTCAATAAGCTTACAAATAGAAAGTTTTATATTTATCTGAAATTACGTTCGAAAATAATTAATAAATAGTGTAGATTCATGTTTGATTCAATTATGATAAATTAAATTTGTATTCAGATCACAATTATATTAAATTCATTTGAATTTTTGTACGGACTTAATTTTTTATTTTCACATGATTCATTGTCGTGATATTTTACACCGTATATCAACAGTGTTACATGAAATATATGGTGTATGCATATATATATATATGTATATGGTTTAAAAAACTCAAAATACTAAATAATTTGTAGTCTTCAAATGATATCAAAGGGACTCTTTAAGCGGATCAATTGTAAATTTGTCAGAAGATTTAGAAGAATTAAACGAGTTAATATCTCATGTATCAAATAATATAATTCTAAACTTATATTAACTAATCACGTATATAAATCTTGAAGCTTTTGTATTATTCTCAAAGGAGATAGGAGAGCTAAGAGAGGCGAGATAAATGATAATTAGAGGCTATTATTAATAAAAACTAAGGGAGAAGAGTATGTGTTTACACTCAAGAGGCATAAAGTGAGATGATGACTGAAGTAAGGATAACTTAAATTAGAAATTGAGAATTTTAGTTTAGTGTTTAAGCATTATTGTCGAGGGAGAGAATGAAGATTATTGTTTTAACTCTCAGAACCTCAACTAACGATGTAATCAAAAAACTTAATTATCTAATTCACCCTCCTTACTTGAATATATAAGAATAAGATAACAGAAAAAACAAAAAGAAAAATGAAAAACGACACAACTTACTCGATAAGTCAATCTAAACCTATCAACTCAACAAAACTTTTGAAAGTTGAAACTAATCATTGTTTTTAAAATTTAAGATAATATCTTTATAGAAGATTTTATCGAAAAATTGTACTTAATTGCAAGCACTTGTATTTAATTAAATTGTAATAAAAATTTATTATTAAGATTAAAAGATCTTAATAAAATAATATTTTATCATTATCTTAATCATAAGATAATAATTAATTAATATTGATAATAAAATTTAATATTAAAATATTAATAAAAATGATAATAAAATAATACTACATAAATTTTCTCTTTATCTCCATATTTTTCATGTATTTTATTCTCCATGTAGACTTCAAGTTGAATAATTATTCTCATAAATTTTACCATAAAATTCACATGTGGAAATATGATCGAGGAAGTCTCATTTTCTGATTAAACTTGTTGCCCACATGCCTCGAATTTCTTTTAACTTTGAATAGGAATCTGCATGGAAATCGTATTAGAAAATAATAAGAAGTGTCCAACCAAGTGCACAGGCTTGCTGCTGCGGGCATGTGGCGCGCACTTGAGGCCTCCTCATGCGCACGTACAACAATGGTTGTCTGCACAAGCGCACTCCTACGTGTGTTTTGTTGCACGCAATAGCTGCTTCCCTGCACCTGCGTGCGACACATTTCTGCATGTGCGTGTCTTCCCAAGCTAGGACATGGGTTGGCCTTTTTCTTTTGGGCGCAATCTCCTTCGGTCGTGACCCACTTTGGTCGTATGGCCTTGAAGTCATCTCAGGTTGCGCAAAAATTTAGGCATTTCTTTTTGCCTTATAATTTCTCCAAACACATTAAACATCACTTGAGCCTTAACTCTTATTGCTTGAACAAATTTAGCCAATTTCTTGAAATAATCTCATCTAGCAAAGTAGTTAGGGACAAAATTACTTTCCTATTCAAAATATTGTAGTTTAAGAAAATGAAATTTATTTTTTAGTTTGACCAATCCCTTTAAGAAACAAAAAGATGTTGGACTTGCTTGCCTGTTTAAGACGGGATTTGCAGGAATCCTTGCAGTAAATGGACATGGATCTTTGCTTACATGTTGTTCAACGTTCGACTACAGTAATTAGCCTGCGGGATTCCTCCTCGATGCAGGAAGGCATTATTTGAACTAAACTTTGGTTTTTTAGGATCACATCAATTATATATTATGTACATATTATATAATATCATATAATTATAACTTAAATAATATATATAGTTTTAATTGATTATTAAATTGATTTGATTTGTCCGAAAAGAAACTATTTTTTTCATAATTGAATTGATGTAACTAAATTTAGTACTCAAGCTTGTTTAACTGAACTAATATACTTTAACTAGTTCGGTTTTGTAATACCCAATTAATTTTAATATATTTAAAACTAATTTATAAATTCAATTTTTTAAGTTTTTAATTTTAATTTAATGTAAAAATAAAGAAAACAGTGGAAAATAAAATTAAAAATAATTTTAAAAAATAGTTTAGATTTTATTCGTATTTTTGAAAGAAAAATAAAAAATTAGGGATCAAAATACAATTTAGAAAAATTATGTCACGTATGACAATCAGTCAGCAACACTGACAAATCGGAGCGCGCCACATAGCAAGGGGCGCTGACGCTGTGCTACGTAGGAGACTACACTAGCGATCCGCGTGTCCGTGATCGGATGGCCCAGATTCATTCTCGCGCGCACGAACGGCGCGGATGCGTTCCCTTTCCAGATGCGATTGGAAGGTTAGATTTAAACGCGATCAACGGTCCAAATCCACTTCTTAATTAAACACGATCGGATAATTCAGATCAGATCGCGATGAACGACTTATATTCACTCCCTATTTAATCGCGATCGGATAATTTAGATCAAA